GCGTCAGGGGCCGAGGTGGTCCCCGGCATCTAGGTTTCGTGTGCCGTCAGGACGGTGGGGCGACTGTGATGGGGCGTCAGGGCCCCTGGTGCGTGGGGTTACCAGGGGGTTCGGGGGTGCTGCCTGTTCTTGCTGGCCCCACCCCAGGAGGTGATGTTGAAACCGTTGTGGCTTTGCGCATCCTCGTGAGAAAGGGGAAGGAGACTTCATGGTGGTCTCTCAGCCGCGCGCCTGCCCTACCAGCTGCCTTCCTGCAGAGCCCTCCCAGCCCTGAGTTTAGGGATGGTGGCAGGGGGCTGCAGGCTTGGGGGAGTCTTCAGCGAGATCGGTTGCCCGATCAGCGAGATTTCCACCCTGGGGTTTGTATGTGGACGCAGAGATAAGATGGCGGCAGCAGGGCTTGTAATGGCGTTCATTTTCCTTTTCATCAAGCAAGGTGGGTTCCTCTGGGGCGAGGGTGCTGGTTTGGGGGCTGACGGATCTGGGAACAGTGGGGAGCCTTGGGAATATGCTCTTGGGTAAATCCTCCCTGGCCCCTCCCTGCCCTTGTTTTTCCCATCCTGGCACTGTGCCCGAGGGGTGAACCACCATCTCCCTTCCCATGGGAGCCCCCGGCATCACCCCCACCAAGCTGGGGGTTTGGGGCTGCTCTGAGTGAGCCTGGAGTGGGGGATGACCCCAAAAAAGAAAGCAAAAAACCAACTTCACCAGGGGATCTGGGTGGGGAGGTGGAAACCCTGCGACCAGGGTTAGGGCACGTCCCTGCAAAACGCCGCCGAGGCCAGGAAGCGCACAAGGGCGTTGGGAATTGGTGAGCAAATGGGCTATTTGCATTTTCCATGTGTCTCGGGAGGAATCGAGGTCCCCAAGCAAGGACGAGCCCCAGGGAGGTGTGGGCTGTGTCTGGCTGGCCAAGCAGCAGCCGTCTCGGTTTTCTTGGCAGCCTGGTTGCAACGTGGAGTGTCAGAGGTGGTCGGGGTTGTTCATGGGGTGGCGTATCTGAGTCCCAGCCTGCCAGACCAGACCTCCTACTACCAAATTCACTGGCGGCGTGACAACTCTGTGAAGATTGCCATCCGGAGCAGCGATGCTAAGGTCCAGTACCCCAACAGCGGCACCTACAAGGGACGGCTGGAACTCTTCCACAACAACACCCTAAAAATCAGCTCCCTGCAGAAAAACGACAGCAGCATGTACCAGGTGTACCTGGAGGATAAGGAGGGCAAGGAGCACATTGAGAACATCCTCCTGACGGTGTATGGTCAGTTGGGAGGACGGGAGGGTGGTCCCAGTGTCTGGGTGGGGGACGGGGGGCTGTGACATTCTGCTGCCTCTTGCAGATCTGGTCCCAAAGCCCACTGTGAATGCCAAAGTGATCAGAGATGACCCAGTGCGGTGCAAAGCCACCCTGGAGTGCTCAGTGGGGCTTGAAGCGGTGACCTATGAATGGATCGTCCCCAGCAAGCTCCCAGTGGAGAGTGTGGGTGCCCCTGAGCTGCGCGTCTCCTTCGACCCCTTGACAGAAACCTACATCTGCAAAGCCAGCAACCCCGTTTCCTCCAACAACGCATCACTGATCTACAGGCACCCCTGCTCCTGGACAGGTACTGAGGTAGCCAAACTCAGGTAGGGTGGGCTGCAAGGTGGTCTTGACTTTGACAGGTCCCTGGAGCAGCAGTGGTGACCCTGAGAGCAGGTCCCTGCAAGGCCCGAGGTGGCCCATGGGTCAGGAGTGGTGGGTTCCTTTTTCCCCTGCTCCATGGGCTGGTGGGTGTCAGGAACCCAACTGGGGAGGGAGTCCCCTGCCAGGGCTGGGCACCCACAGCTCTACCCACACCCCCGGTATTCCTCTGCCTCCAGGTGAATCCTCCAGTGCTGCATCCTGCCCCACCATCAGTGTGCTAGTGGCCCTGGGACTCCTCCTCTTCCTCACTCTGGCTTAAGGACGCCCTGCAGCTGACATCTCATCACCCCCCTGTTGTGGGACCAGTGCCTGAGGGAGGCCCCCAAACCGGCTGGATGCAGAAAGATGCAGTTGCTCATTGGTACCATTATAACCAGCATCGGTTACACCAGCACCGCTGGTCTCATTCGTAGCTGCCTGTTTCCCACCATCCCAGGCTCTGCCTGCCCTGCCACGGCCTTCAGGGTAGCTCTGTGCCTCGGTTTCCCTCCTCACCTTTTCTGCTTTGCTTTAATCAGAAGTCATGTTCTCCAGATCTTAAAAAAATAGGTATGATGGTTGTTGCAATGGTGTTTTGAGAGCCCTGGCAATCTAAATTGCTGAATTCATGTTTAGCTGCTCGGAAATCCCTCTCTTTCCATCCCCGAGTTCTGCAGGGACACCCAATCTGGGCCTTTCCCAGGGGTCCCCATGGAATTCTGGGGGGTCCTTGGCCATCACCTGCTGTCAGCAATGCCCTCTACGGGACTGATGAGCAGTGTGACACTGCAGGACAGCCCACGACATGTTTAGCCTAGAACCAGTGGCACCAGCACGGGTGCAATTGGGTGCTGCCCAACCTCCAGCAGCACGGGAACCTCTCGGGGGGCCACGGCTACGGTGGCACCTCTGGCTTTCTCCGCTCGGGAGGGTTTGATGAGAACAGTCTCTGCTTCAGATACATCTGCATGTACCTTTAACTTTAACCTTAACCCCCACGTGTTTAGGTGCCTGTTCTGCATTCTCCTCTGGGCTGGGGGTGGCCACAGCAGGTGTTCAGGGACTGGGCGATGGAGGGAGATGCATTTCTCCCCCAACAGCTTTGCTGGGGACAGGAGCCCTTCCACAGTTGTCCCCCACAGGAGGACATCCAGATGGTGGGACACTGGCCCATTGGGGTGGGAGGATCTGTCTTCAGTCCCTCAGCCTGCAAGGAGGGGTGGGGACATGTCTGAGGGCCACCGCAGCCCTGGGATGCTGCTGCTCCTGCCAGCTCCAGCAAACCCTCCTGAGAATGGGGAGAAACAGGCTCTGCCCTCTGTAAAACCCAAGAGGCTCCACTTGCCAGAGCTGTCGTTAAGCAAAGACTCCTAAGGCTGGATTCATCAAAGGATTAACAGGGACCTCACTTGAAAAATCAATAAACAACCCAAGTCCTTCCAGCTCCTGGCTCTATCTGCTGATGGCTTTAACATCAATGTATATTTTTTCAGAAATGCCCCATCTTGAAAATATTTGCTTGGGTCTTGGTCCATTCCGATATGGAGGTTTGGAGCTTTTCTGTCTCTGAGAAAATCCAGGACGCCCGCTGAACACCAGCATCATTGGAAAAACTCCTGCGAGGAATAAATACGGGTCCTGGTACCGTGCCTCAGTCAAAATTCCGGCCAGAAAACTTCAGCCTGAGCTGATGGGGGAAGTAAAGGCATGTAGGATCATAATTTTTGGTTAAAGAAGTTTTTTCTCTGCCTGCCTGTATGTTTTCCTGCCCCCAGGTTCTTCCCGGAAGGATTTTTTCGTGATGATTTTGCTTGTTTAAATATTTTTTCCCCATTTCTCCTGGCTGGTGCCAGCCCAGCCTGGGGCATGCTGCTATGGTAGTGTCCCATGGGTGACACTGGGGTCTTTCCTGGACCGGTTCGTGGTCAATGGTCTTCTCCGTTGTTGTGGTTTAGCCTTATCTGGCAATCAAGTACCACTCCGTTGCTTGATCACCCCTTCCTCCCTGCCAGTGCAGGAGGGAAGTCAGAGGAAAAAAAGAACAAGGAAAGCTCATAAAAGTTGAGATAAGAGCCATATAACAATATAAATGACAACTATAGTGACACTAACAATACTACTACTAATGAGTAATTAAAACAATAGAAAATGGAACACATGGTACGGTATCTCACCAGGCGCAGACCGACATGGCCAGATTCCAAAAGCAACGAACAGTTCCAAGCAGAGACAAATCCCTGAGCCTGAAAATGGGGAGACACCACCCCCCCACACACCC